ATAGTAAAATTATTATAAAATTATTATAAAATTATTATAAGGTACAATTTTAATAATTGTATTAATATCGTTAAGATTATCTTAACTCTATTGAAAAATAATAGCTAGTTTCTGTAAAGTAGGTTCAGTCTATAGAAGCACTAGTTTTAATAATTGTCCGAAGGACATTATAGGAGAGTTATAGTGACTTGAATGTGTGTATGTTTGCAAATTAAGGGATTTAATTAGTTGATCTTATAAAAACAAATATTTTTTCAAAAATACTTATTGTTGGACTAATCTGTGATAAGTCCTTCAGACTTTAAATGGCCTTTATTTAGAGTAGTGACAGATATTACGTAATATTTTTTTACTATACTCTCTACTCCCCTCCCCCTCAAGTAAGAGAAATTTGATTGGCTATTATAAATTTATATTTCTGCGTAAGAAAATTAGAGACCCCACTCCCCCCCCTCAGAAAATTACATAATATCTGCTATTACCCTTATCTAGTAATATATAAATATTATTAGTTTTAACAAAAAGTTCAAACCTGTAAAAAGCTTTCTTATATATATACTTAAATTTCAAAAACTAGAGATACTGTATTAAAATATATTTATATAATTTTAATAAGCATTTATTTATTTATTTTTTTTTTTTGGTATTAAGGTGACTTTTTTGGCCTGGTGACTTTTTATTAGAGGACCAATAATGGTCTTATAATGTAGTTATAATAATAGTACATCAAGTCACACATGCACCTTTTAAGTGTCTAATTTAAGTAGTCCGCCCGAAGGTTCTACACTATCTGCTGTACCTGCACCCCAACTAGGGGGGTACCTATTTAAACTATCTGGTTACAACTACCTGCCATTGCTCAACTAACTCAGGGTATTCCTCAATATGTAAGTAGATTTTGGTATCTACCCTATGTGGATTTCGCACCCTACCTTAGGGCTTATTAACTACAATTTGGATTTATCAATACCTATCTTAAGACTAACTAACTATATATGGCTAATCTATTATCGAGGTAAACCTAACAGAGCGATACATGTCCTATACATGTATTCATCTGCATATTCTTATAACTTTTTTCTAATTAATATATATTGACCTGCTATTTTATATTAGTATCTTATGCTACCTTTTGAAGCGCTGCCTTTTTACAGACGTTTCTCAAGCATCAACCTTTCTAACTAGGCACCTATTATGTACTCCTTGCCCTTATTTAGTTTACAACAACCCCGGTATCCACAATTGGACTATCTCCTTACCCAGATTCTTTATTGGTCCCTTCCTTACTTCCAGCCAGCAATCCAAAAAGGTTGGTTTGCTGAGGCTTTAGGTGCCTGAAGGATGCCCTCCCCTTGGTTCATACTTTTGGAGCATATACCTTTTTCCTCTGATGTAACAACCTGGTGGTTCGGCTAGTGTGTCCTCTGCTAGTGGACCTAGTTGTTTGGTTCTCCAGGACTTGCCAAATAGGTTTTCGGTTATGCTGGTTTTTCGGATTTATTGCACCAAAGCTTCTATTACTAGATGGTGTGACCGAAGTTATAGATTAGTTTTAGATTCAACTGATAAGCATAGCTGTCAACCAAATACAGACCTATTTTTCAAATATCGTTGCCAGTGGGATTTAAACTCTAGATCTGCTACTTGGAGAAGGTGACGACTAGACCACTACACTAAGTCGCCATACTTTTTAATAAGTATTTATAGTTTTGTACTATATAAATATTGTTCTATAAAATAAAAAAAATTATATACTTTTTTAAATAAAGTATAAATTGTCAAATTGTCTTTAGTAAATGCGATTTATGTATTAAATTAATATATAATACTGTAATACAAATTTACTAGTCTATTTCTATATTTGCTAAAACTAGTTTAATCATATGTACATATGTACAAAAAATAAAACCAGTCCTAAACTCTACTCAAACTAGTTAGTTAATCATAACGTATTATAAAATTATTTAAATAGCATGCCTTATATCTATTTATGTATTAGATATACTTATAGCATGCCACAGTCAATATGGTACTATAGCATGCCAATGACTGCTATGCCAGATACTCTACTTGAAATATGAATTAGGATGGGCAATAAAGCTATTTAGAGTTGGTAAGAAGATTGAAAAATAAATTTAATATTAAGGTAAAGCTTTACAGAAGAAATATACAAATGTTGTATTTGTTATATAATTTTTACTAGCTATATATGAGTTATAATAGTGTCTTTAGGGTCTTAGATTTTTTTATATATATTTTTTTTGTTTCTTTTTTCTTTTCTTTGTTTTTCTTTTTTCAATTGTTTTTATAGTTTTTTTATTTAAACTTTTTACCCTGCCTTTTGAAAAAAAAGAAGAATTTAAAGAGAAAAAAGGTTTATTATATCTTAAAATACATTTTATTGTATATAAGGTATAGTGGCCAATATTAGTATGATAACTATATTTGGGTGTCTTGAAATTAAAAAAGCCAGATATTAGTTTAATATACCAATTAAATAGTTTAGTCTTGTATTAAATATCAAATATTTAATAAAAATTTAATATATATATATATATATATATATATTATTTTTTGGATAACCTGTATTGAAAATTTGTTAAAGTTTACTAGACTCAAAGTCCAAACTCAACATCAACATTAGACATTAGGCTGGCTTTTCTCACAGAATGCCAATCTTGGCATCTACCTGATATTAGCTACAATACCCTATATATAGTATGGTGTATTTAAAGGTATTATATAACTAGGCTTTAGCTACCTTTGCTAAAGTACATGTTTCATCTATGTATTTACTCAGACTTCAGTAACTTTATACCATAGCTTGACCCATATACTTGGGTCAGGGCTAACTATTAAACCTCTGCAACTAACTAGTACCTGTTGTGCTGCTGTTACTGAGTTTGTATCTCAAGCCCTTTAGAATACTGCTATAACCTGGTCTGTATCTTAAGCCACAACCTTTCTAATTAGTTACCTATTATTTACTTTTGCCCTTGTCAAAATTCTCAACAACCCCAGTATCTACATTTGAACTATCTTCTTATCCAAATTCTTTACCAGTTTCTTTTTTACTTTTAGTCAGCAACCTAAAAGGGTTGGTCTGCCCAGGCTTTAGATACCTGAAAGATGCTCTCTTTTTAGTATATACTTTCAGAGTATATGCCTTTTTTCTCTGACAGAACCTGGTAGTTTGGCTGGTGTGTCCTCTACTATTAAACCTGGTTGCTTGGTTCTTCGATCTCAGATCTTAGTTCAAATTTAGCTCTTCTGTAGTATAGTCAAAGATTATTGCTACTCCTTAATTTAGAACTTCCCAAATAAGGTTTTGGTTATTCTGGTTTCTTGGATTTATTGTGCCAAAGCTTCCATTACTAGATGGTGTAACTGAGATTACAGATTTGATTCTAGATTCAACTGATAATTGATAACTGTTAACTATAGCACAAGCCTATTTTCTAAAATTCATCATCCATGAGATTTGAGCTTTAGACCTACCACTTGGAGAGAGTGATGACTAGACCACTATACTAAGTTGCCACACCTCAAATTTTAGTATATGGTTATCAAAAAAAAAAAAAACATATATATATATTCTTAAATCTGTTTGGTCAATTGGCTATTTTGTATAATGTAATCAGGGTCCTGACCATGTATTCATAGTAAAAATTATGTAATAAATAGCACTATTTATAGCTGAAGTACAATGTATTACTAAAATCAATTATATCAGATTAGTATGTTGAAGACTTCAAACCCATACTAGGGGGTGTTGCTAGAAGTATGTAAATATAATGTTGCATGATAAACATTGAATTATTCAATTGCACAAGTCACCAACAAATAAAAATGCACATTTTCCTGTCATGACTTTAGATCATAAGAATTGAATATATGATAAAATATGTTAATCAAATTTTCTAATTTTTTATGGAATTAATTTTATTAATAAATCTTTATTGCAAGGAAAAAAGGTATATAAATTATTTTTTGATCAATTGCATATATATATTATTACAGAAAACTATATTTCTGTTAGAAACCAGAAGTTTTGCATTGTTATATTAAGTAAACATATGGTAAATGCATTTCTTATTTACAACTACTCTTGCAAAAATCCTTGATACTATAATTTTTCAGCTAAACTTAATCAAGTTTCATTTTACAGGTACTAATTAATTTCACCAATCTAAGATCCAAGTAATAATTGTTTTCAAAGGTAACTAACCGGAGGGTCTGTTTATTAATAAACTATTAAAAGCAATTACAGTCCGCATATATATGGTCAGCTTTTGAGAAAATTCTTGCATTTTGAAACATGTTCATCGTTTCAACTATTTGAGAAAAAATAAATTTAGAAATTGATCAAAAAATAACAGCTAGGTATATTAAGTTCTGTCTATTTCAATTTCTCTTGTTTTGGCTATCTAAAAAAAGGTAAGGATGATCGAATACATACTACTAGGACGTGGCCCGTGGCCAGAAATATGCATTGATTTGGCTAACTTTTAAGGACGTAGCTCCCCTTGTTAAAATCTGAGAAAATAAACTTCCAGAATGTGGCCAGCAATGTGTTCAATATAGTTTAACAAGGAGTAGCCTCATCCTAACCCCAAATGCTATGACAGTCCGATAAAAGCAAACATACACAGGATTCTCTACTCATATGACGAGGACCGATCCTCACCTTTGCTGAGATAGATGAAACATACTTATACCCAGAAAAGGGTAGCCTGACATAAGTAAGCCCCATCAATAGCAAACATTTCAAGATAACCAGTAATTCATCATCATCTTAATAGGTGTGGTGTTGCTGAGAAAAAAAAATATATTCTCACCTTTTTATCCAAAATTAACATTATTTCTTTGACCTCTTTTAAAGTCCTAGGATCTTCTTTTATTTTCTGAATAATTTTAAAAAAACCTCGAGCATAAACTTCTTTTTTCGGTACAGTATAATTTTGTAAAACCCATCTTTCAAAATGATCGAATGACCACTTTTCGAAAGGAATGATGTAAAAATATCTAGAGTACATCCATTTAAAGTTTTCTATGTCTTGAATTACGGTAATTGTTTTTTTATTTAAAGCTTACTTACAAAGAGGTGATTAAAAACATTGTAATAGTACATTGTATGTATACATACTAGTATTAATCTCCGTTATCAAATTTGAAAGCACTACGGCAGGGCCAACTTTTAGCTGACATCGAAGATCTTTTTTACTTAGTAAAGGAAAACTTGAACCTGAAATTTTTTGATTCCTTAGAATTAAAAAATCTTCTTCATTGAGATTTAATTCTTGACTTCTCAAAAAGTCGAATAATTTATCGGTATTCCATTTGTTGATGATATCAAGTAAACTTCTAGCCATTTTAGTGCTTAAAACAAAAGAAGTGTTAAGAAACGATGTTAATACAATAATAATAACACGTGGAATTCAAAACACTTACAGCCCATTTGAGAATCGCCTCATAAAAGAATATAAAATCCTCCATCTCTGTATAATCTCGGGGGATTGACGCATTGTCTACCTCTTGAAGGTAATAATTAAAATACAAGCTACTTGCTTTTTATACAACTATATTACGCGACTTTCATACGCGTCTTGTAATACAGAGGTGCATACATAATTCCTAACAAGTAAAAGCATCGTGAATCTTGATATAAGAAAGTTGTTGGGTCCAGTCAAAACCTTTCTTATATCGAGATTTTCTTATATCAAGAGCTTTTTATTATAGAATTTTTAATTGGGACTCGCAAAACCTTTCTTATATCGAGAGTTTCTTATATCGAAGATTTCAAAATTCGTTGTGTATGTATTGTATTGTTTTTTGCACGAAAATTAACAATCATTCCTGTAGACGTAAAAATTTTTTTTGCACAGCATATTATATAGTGCCGAATTGTTAACGCTAGTAACAAAATGATACGTAATAATAAAAATTGATATTTTTATATATATATATATATTTAATATATAAATTATTTTAATAACTATATAGTTTGAAATCTTTTTAATTAATATTTTAAGTAAATATATTTCACATATTGCTACGTAACCAAAAACAATGTTTAATAAATATTTTTTTTGAATAAGCTAAAATAACAAAATCTAATGTAACTTATACTGTTGAAAATTGCACGCGGAATTCGTATATTTTTATTTTAATGCACGGAATTTTTACCACGGTCCTGATCTTATGACCGAATTTTTTAACTGAACCAAGAATTGAAAGGTGTGAATCGATTTATACGACAAGATTATTCTCGGAAAGACTAAAGGTCCAAATTTTCAGACAGAACCAAGAATTGAAAAAACTCACCCTACGGGAATTCTGTACTACGTGGTTACATATCATATATATATCCCGACCAAAATCAAATTTCTCACTTTTAAAGATGTCGGGGTCAGTCGTATTTAATACTTCGATGGTAAGCTATATAAGTGAATTTTGTATTTCTAAATTGGTTTTCAATTAAAGATTAGTTCTTCATTTAAGCTAATAATAAAAAAATAGGGAGGTATTGTTTTCGAATTATATTGGGAACATGCACCAAAAACTTGTAAAAATTTTTACGAATTGGTATGCTTTACTTTGTTTTTATCGTTATTATCGTTATTATCATTATTATTATTAATTAATTTGATATTGTAATTTTTTGCTTGTTAATGATCTTTAATATTAGGCAAAGCGGGGATATTACGAAAATATTATTGTATGACTTTAGATTTTGTTAATTTTATTGCTTTGAAATAAATTTAAATTATTATTCAATCATATTTGATCATTACAGTTCCATAGAATAGTTGAGGTAAGTTCAATAAAGCTATTGACATAATTTTACAGCTGACATATTTGATATACGAACTCATTACAAAAAATTGCATATTATAATTATAATCTTCAGGATTTCGTTATACAAGGAGGTGATCCAACTGGAACCGGTCGTGGAGGTTCATCAATCTATGGGTAACTCATCAATTTATGCTATATTTCTTCCAAGTTTTTATTTATCTTGTTGGTGTCTTATTATAAACACATTAATATTAATATTTTTCAATTACATTAACAGCAGAGCTTTTGAAGATGAGATTCATCCTGAATTAAAGCATACAGGTGCTGGCATTTTAAGTATGGCAAATTCTGGACCAAATTCAAATGGCAGTCAGGTAATTGTAATTTTGCTCGTGCTCAATTTTTTATATAATGCGTTATAATCTTATTCAAATTATTCAAATTATTCAAATGTATGTTTTTTTAAAGTTTTTCATAACATTGGCACCTACACCGTGGTTGGACGGTATACCTTTATTTTATATTTATTTTTCATTAATAAATAAATTTTACAACTTAATAACGTCTTTTATTAAAATGTTAAAAATAGGAAAACACACTATTTTTGGAAGAGTGAGTGAAGGTATGAGAGTTGTTAAGCGCATGGGGCTTGTTAAATGTGATTCCGATGATAGGTAAGAATTTTCTTTAGTACATATGATTTATATTTTATGGCTGAGGGTATATACATGATAATTTTTTTTTTCTGTTATCGGTTTAAAATTTTAAACATACTTGACATTGTATTAAGTAATTCATATTTACAATTAAGTTTTGGACTTCATAATCATAAAATTTTTTGTTAATTCTTTATATTTAGACCAGTAACAGAAGTAAAAATTTTATCTGCAAATGTTGTTGATTAAAAATTGAAACAGGTAAGTTGTAAACTTAAACTGTTGGTTTAATTATTTAATATTGATTTAACATATTATATTATTTGATTTGTAGAAATGCAGTTAAAATAAAAAGTGTTTCAATCGGCATATATTATCACAAACGATTGACACCAAATTAGTTTGATTGAATAAAAATAAATACAGTATACGGAACATTGATAATGGTAATAAGGTATGTGAATATGCCTAGTGTTGCACATTAGTAAGTTTTGAAATACCGCTGCATATACAAGATGATAATCATATTTTTATTTACAAAATCTTTTGAACAGTTGCTAATATAATGTTCGATGTAAACATCCAATTCTACCATAGATTTGTTCGTTTATGATTTTAAAATTTATCTATTAAATAAATTCAGAGGGCTAAATGGTATTAATGCAATAGACGAGTAAAAAAAAAAGATAATGATTAAAGTTCAAAATTATATCATACTGATTCGCTATTCTTTTTATTAATTATACAAATTTTAATGTAAAATATAAATATAATCAACACTTTAAATATTATATATAGTGACTCTTTGATATAACGAACTCTCGATGTATTGATATAATGGATTTACTAATAAACTCTTTAATTGCCCAAACGATACGTTATATCAAGAGTTGCAAATTTTTTAATTACAGTATTATAAACCAAAAAAATCTTAGCATTTATTATAATTATTATTAACTAATCACTTTTACAATTTATTTAAAATTTATTTAAAATATCACTTGTACAATCAAAAATTGTATTAAAAATAAGCTTAAATTTGATAAGCTAATTAAATGATGCAACAAGTTTTGTTTATATGTATCGTAATTTTCTTAAGAAATTTTTGCATTTGAAAAATCAAGTTCAGGATGCTGTGCTTGAAATTTCTTCAAAATTTCTTCTTTTTGCAATTCATCAGATGTCTTTTTACCCATCTGTTTCTGACGTTGATCAAACTAAATTAAAAAAAAAGTGAACGATGAATTAGTTAAATAATAAAATAATAAACATTAACAATAAATAAAATATAATATAATCACCATCATTTTTTCAACCATTGCACGAGTTTCACCATCTAAGTCACTTAATTTGGAATTTTCAGGTTGAATTTTTGTTGTATCGATAGTAGGATGAGTTTTAATAACATTCTCCCACCATTCCGCGCCATTAACCTTTTCCAAATGAATATAAATTTCTTTTTGATCCTCTATTAAACAGCAATTTACTCATAAGCGGCTTACGATCCAAAATGAATAAATGTATTAAATTATAAAATCACATTACCCAGCGTCCAAGTACAATCTTCCACTTTAATTTCTTTACATAATTCACCCTATACAAAATAATTCAAATATAATCAATATAATCAATATAATCAATTTGTTATCATAATTCTTTATATCATATATGCTAATGAATTACCTCAATAACAGGAGGATTATTTTTCAAACCCACTGTCAAATGCTTTTTTTTTATCGTAACTATTAGATCTCGTGCACGTGTTCCCTTTGGTACAGGAACTGTAACGTCAACGTCTTGTAAAGTTTGTTTCCACCTGTAAGGTAAAGCTATATTTTATTTTAATTAACATTTAATAAATTCCTGAAGAAGTAAAAATTCCAAATAAAAAGGCTAAACTACCTGCTTGTTCAGCTTCCTCCTTTTCTCTCGCAATTCTGTCGTGTTCCTTTTGTTCTTCAGGTGTCATATCGTCATAATTTTTAGTGTTCGGCATTTTTTTTTTAAATCCAATAGAAAAAAAAAGAGAGAGGCTTTGATTGCGACTACGTACAACACGCGACCTAATAAAATATTTGTTAAATATTTCGATGGCGCAGTTTGAACAATCCAGTTAAAGTAGAATCAAGTTATAGTCATGTGATAATGAGTCACATTACTCAGATTTTTATTATACGTATATATAATGTATTACGTAGAAGACGAAAAGAACAGATATATATATTTATAAATTTAAGCATAATAAAGTGTCACATGATTTATATATAAAGGTGGTGTATAATATAATATATCAAGCGATCTCTTTATTTTATCAAAACCAGTATTAGTACGTACTATACGTATACGTAGTGTTAAATATATATATATATATATATATAGTAATTAAATTTATATATATATGTATATATACTGTATACGATAGCACATTAAAAATTTAGTTTTACACGAAATAAACATTAAGTTTGCTATTAATGCTATTAATAGAAATAATCTCTACTATACCTGATATTTACAGTAATTACGTATATAAAAACATTTATAAAGTTTTTATTTTATACATATATGTTTAAATTGTTTGACATATGTATAATTTTTTCAAAAAGCTTAGTGTGTATATATATAAGTAAACTGATACATAGTATATAAGTTTTTTTTTTTAAAAGAATTATTTTAAAGAAAACAAAAAAAATTACGTATTTTATAAATAATTAGTAAATCCCGACACAAAAAATATTAATATATCCGTATAATGATCCATTTAAGTTGAAATTTAATCAAATACTTCAAATATCGATATTATATGCGATGACGATAATGAAGAGTTAGTTATAGCGAAGGTGGGAATGATATGACGATCAGAATTGATGTGAAATTCGAACTGTGTAAAGAAATCACTCGGTTCTGATCACTGAATCATATTCGATTCGTCACATTATCTTCATATTCGCCCCCAAATGTACCATTATATTTTATACGTAGAAAGCAGTTGACCAAAACAAGGCATATAAAGGTAAAAGAAATAAGTATTAAATTAATTGTTTCATGAAATTTAATGAAACAAATATCATTTGATATTTGCCAGTAAGGAAGAACATATATTTAAAATGTGTGGAATATTTTATGCAAGATAAAACACCATTTAATTATCTAATTTAATTATCTATAAAAACAAAAATGCTTTTGGAAAGTTTAAACTTGAAAAATTAATACTGGACTATATTTTCAGGATACGTATAATGTAGAATTGTAGAATTCACTATATCGATATAATATGCTAAAAATCGGAATAGATGCAAAGTAATAAAATCAAGCACCAATAACATACAGTCCACACTATCATACCATATCGATATGCAGAGATAGATAAAGTTTCAAATTAACATACGACGGAAATTTATTATGTGTATTTTCTATGAAAGATATGAAATTATTTCTATACATTAATTAATAAATATGATACAAACAAATTAACGAGAAAACTGTGATTGTGAGGTGACTGAAAAGAAAAAAAAAAAAAAAAAAAAAATAGAAAATAAAAATTAAAAAAACTTTAAAAAAAAAAATTTAAAACATAACAAAAAAGGACTAACGCTAAGTATATAGTATTAAATAACAACTTTGCTAGCCACACACTGTTCACTTCTTAGTTTAGCGGCATTCTTTTCAAAACTAGCTTGTTTACAACTTGTTAGATTTATGCAAGCATGTGCTTCAGGTAGCCTATGCCGCGAACAAAAGTCCAGTTCACAATAGCGACAATGACCAACAATCTTTACAGCCTTATCATTACAGTCTCCAAACTTACACTTAGATTTGTTAACCTTCGCACCACCACGTAAACGAAGAACTAGGTGAAGAGTTGATTCTTTTTGAATATTATAATCACTAAGCGTTCGACCATCCTCAAGCTGCTTTCCAGCAAAAATTAGGCGTTGTTGGTCCGGTGGAATACCTTCTTTATCTTGAATCTTTTGTTTTACATTATCGATAGTATCACTTGATTCAACATCGAGAGTTATTGTCTTGCCGGTAAGAGTTTTTACAAAAATTTGCATTCCACCTCGTAAACGAAGTACAAGATGTAAAGTAGATTCTTTTTGAATATTGTAATCACTTAAAGTACGACCATCTTCAAGTTGTTTTCCAGCAAAAATTAACCTTTGTTGGTCTGGAGGGATTCCTTCTTTATCTTGAATCTTTTGTTTTACATTATCAATAGTATCGCTTGATTCAACATCAAGAGTAATAGTTTTACCAGTAAGAGTTTTCACAAAAATCTGCATGTTTTATGTTCGGCTTGTATATATTTTTTGGTTTATAAATTGTAAAAAAAATTGTAAAATTGTAAAATTACGAGATAGAATTGAGGAGACTACGATTTTTCAATAGCCTATTTATATTCTTTATGATGACTAATAAAATGATATACGTAAATGATGTACTGTACACTGTATGTAAATAAATAAATATATATATATATCAGATATATATAGTTATAAATAAAAACTATATATAAACTATGTATCTGATACGTATATATATATATATATATATATACGTATACGTGGTGTTTTTTCTAGTACGTAGCTACTTTACAGTTATATTTTTCATATGTTAAAACCGGATTTAAAATATGAAAAATAAAACTGGTTTCAAACTCTACCATGGGAATTAGAAATATATTTACAACCGTTTTCTTAATTCTGGGACATCTTGGCAAAAATTAGTACGGCCGATTCGATTAAAATTATTATTTTTCGGCATATAAAAGCTGCTTTTGTATCACACGTAACATTTATTCTACAGGGCGTTAGAACGTTAACATACTCATTATTTGAACTTTTCCATTATCTCCTTATTTCTTTTGTAAACACTCCGTGAATCTGTAACATGATTGGGTAGGTCGAATAATTTCCATTATTTGAAGGTAACGGATTAACTTTTTTTATAAGGTAGTGTATATGTATATAGATATATAAATATATATAAAATATATATATATTTTATTCTCTTTATTTGTATATCAAAGTTTACAGCCCTTCAAATTGTCATAAGGCTAATTTTACATCTAGCCAAAGTTTCATCTTTAATTGTGATTCATACAATTACCAGCTATATCTATTTTTTCCATTGAAGATTATCTTCTAGCATTTAGTTTAGTAAATGTGCTTTTCCTAAAAGTGACGGAAGCTTTTCAAATATCCGTATCTTTGAAAGTGCTTGAAACTCGACTTATAGGTCTACCAAGT